GAGCTACATAATCAATCGATAATTCGAATTTCTAGCTATATTCACTCCCTGAGCCAACAGCCAATGGGACCGGTGACTATTTCAGAAGAGAATCTGATTGGCTCAAACACGTCGTTTACACGCGTTTTTTTCCTAAATACGTTGTTCCTTATATACTGAAAGACTTCTGCCGTTGCTCCCTTCTTGTCGTGTTCTTTCTTTGGGAACTCACACAAGGCGTTATTTGCGGTTATATCTCGGCCTGCGCATCCGCTACAACAGACGTTAGTGTAATCTTGGGTTTGCAGCGGGGTGGGTGGCGACAGGGGGTAAAGGCAACGGGGCATCAGCTAATTGAGCGTCCGTGATGAGGGTTGGCGGTGACCAAGTGCTAGACACAGGAGGGAATTTTGTAGTGTTCAAAGCTATAGGATTGGATGTTTTCGGAGGGATGGTGCACTGCATCCGAAGATGGCCGACCAAGTCGATACGTAGGCGGAAGTTGCGATGGCCAGCTTTCACTGTTCGTAGCCAAGCAGATCGGTGCTGCACGACTTCCTCCCAGGACCCGCTGATCCTGTCTGCCGCCGTGGCCCCAGTGTTTGCTTTGCCTTTGCGCGCGTTGGTTATCTGTTCTGGTCCATCGGTCGGTGTCTTGACCTGCCTGGTTTCCTGCCCATACACGCTGGCAGTAGATCTGCTTGACGGTCTCGATTCTCTGAAGATGGGAAGCCAAATCAATTACCGGAAATGTCAGACGCACGATAAATCCCTCCCGGTCAACGCTCTGCCGTCATTTGACTTAGCTTTTTAACAATCCCCTGGTTCCTCCCTGTGACTGGAGGATTTCTTCCAGTTAGCCATTACAAATCACAAACGATCGTACTCGAATTGACCTCATAATGTTTTTCTTCAGCCAACCAGTGGTAAGAACTTCGAACTTGCTGCCAAGCGAGACGGTTTTCGACGACAACGATGGTGATTTTAAAAGAAGGCTTGATGGCCTTACATTTGACAAAACGCGAATATCACAACACATTTTTTATGGCCAGTCTTAGAAACATATTCCTAGCTCTAGCTTGATTTTATACCGTTTCGCTGTATACCACGAAAATTCCCTGAAATGTGTGTTATGTTAACTGTCGTCAACTTCATATTTACTGTAAAAATGACAGAATTACTTTACATTATTACGTCCTCAATGGCATGCCTTGCCTGCAAACCTTCAGAAATGCATATATAAAAAATTGTATTTTCTCTAATATTACTGCAATTTTAAGTATGTGCTTGGCACGCTTGAATAAAATGCACGCTTAGTGTGTGTTAG